CGCGGGGGGGGGGGGGGTCTATGTGGGGGCAGGTAGTCAGACCTCCTAGTGTGTGGACCCCCAGTTCAGGGCCAGACTAGGCGGAGGTACAGCCTCTCCCTCTGGACCCTTCCAGGCAGCCAGCTGGGCTCTTGTAGGGAGGGAGGAGGGGGAACTCCAGAGTCTTGATTAGAACCATGTGGCGCAGCTTGGGGTGAGGGGAGCCGCCCCACCTCTGGGCCAGCTGCCCCACCTCCCAGCAATTAGTGTCGCGCTCCACGCTCTGAACTCACTGCCTGTCTCCTGCCTTTCTGTCTCTGGGCCTGTCACCTGCTGCCACACAAGGCTCTCTCTTCCCTCCCCTGCCCTATGTCCAAGGGGTGCTGGGGAAGACAAGGAGTCCCCAGGTGAAGCATGGTTCCTCTCTAGGAAAGGCTGCCTCAGACTAAACAAAGGCTTTGAGCCCTACCCCTGCCTCACACATGTCCTTCTCCAGTGGGGCTGGGGGAGGGGGGCCCTGGCCTTGGCTCTGCAAGGACTGATGGAGAATCTCCTGGCCCCAGGCCTGGGCCCAGCCACCAACCCCATACCCTGATTGTACCAGGTGCCCTGCCCTCTCTTTTCCGCAGGCTCCAGCCCAGAGCGATCCCCAGTGCCCAGCCCACCCGGCTCCCCAAGGACCCAGGAAAGCTGCGGCATTGCCCCCCTCACTCCCTCACAGTCTCCAGTAAGCCTGGGCAGGAATCGGGGTGGTGGGTGGCCTGGGTGGTACAGAGAGGGGTCATGCCAGGCAGAGCCTGGCCTGGAAGGAGGAGGGGGAAGGGGCGACCATGCTCTCTGCCTGCACACTCCAGCCATGCAGGTGGCCTTGGGCTGTAGGGGTGACAATTCCACTGAAAAGATGAACCGCATATAACTAATCAACTCCTAAACCCCCTGCCACAGGAGGACACCCAGGGGCCACTGAGGCTGCCCTGGCTGGAATAGGTGTTCCTGAGCATGTGGCTTTTTGAGATCCTCAGAGCACTGGGACTTACCAGTGCGGCTTCCCATTCAGTCAACCACAGCCACATCTTGCTTGAATATCTTTTGTTTTGTTTTGATTTTTGTGACCGGGTGTGTAAACTTGCAAGAGACAGAAAGAGACATGGAGTGGGGAGTGAGAAAGACCCGCCCCGGGGGGGGTGGGGCAAGGAAATCCCTCCTCCTCCATTATCTTGGGATTTGGGGCGTGTATACATGTGCACCTGGCATGTTTTTTAAACCACCAGTCTGGGCCTTGAACCATGTAGTTGGCCATGTGGGACCCAGTTGCCTTAACCTCCACACCATCTACTACTGGTTCCCCCACAGTCCTATCTTTTTTTTAATCAATTTATTTATTTAGAGAGGTTTTTGCCTTAGGGCATATGCACTCACTGGAGAGAGAGACAGTGAGATGGGCTTTCTGAGCAGTTGGCATGTCCAGGGCTCCACTGGAGTCTGCAAGGAAGGGAGCCCAGACCGGGAGGCATAAGTGGGGGGACAGGGCTGAAGCACAGCATGGGGAGGGGCCCCCAAGTACAGGGAGCTGGCCTTGCTGGCTGCTCGCTAACTAGGTCTTGCATTTGCAGAAGCCAGAGGTCCGAGCCGCCCAGAAGGCCTCCTTCTCCGTGGTGGTGGCCATCGACTTTGGCACCACCTCCAGTGGCTATGCCTTCAGCTTTGCCAGTGACCCCGAGGCCATCCACATGATGAGGTAAGGGCATGGGGCTGGGAGACCGACTTGGGTGGGAGGTCCTCACACCCTGATGGGCCTTCTCCCAGAAGCAGTCACTGATAAGTCTCCCTAAGCACCTTCTACCCCTAGTCTGGGGCTCCCCACTGGGTTGAAAGGTTGTAGGTTGGGCCTCAGGCCTGACCCACCCTCAGCTGATACTTCTACAGGAAATGTCAGGCTTTACTTTTAATTTTTTGATTTTTATTGAGATACAACAAACATACACTAGGGACTAGCTAGTGGCATGGTGGTTAAGACACTGGGCTCCCACATTGCCAACTCCCACAGTGTCAAGTCCCAGACCTGGTGGCTTGCTTTCTCACCTTCTCTCTCTCCCTCTGTTAAGCACATGTGCCCTATAGCAAAGTAAAATAATAATAAATTAAATTTTAAAAATACAGATGCAGAGAACCAGCAGTTAGTGTAATGGCTATGTTGCTGGATTCCCACGTAGTTGACCATGGTTCTCGTCCCAGACCCAGTGGCTTAGAACTCATGCCGGGTGCGTGTGCGTGTGTGCCCAAGATCCCGAGAGGAGAATGGAGGAGAAGGGACTGCAGTGTGACCATCCCCCCTGGGGGGTGATTTCTCGCTTTCTGTCTCTATGTCTCTCTCTGTCTGTCTGGCGAGCGCACGCGCCCTATAGCAAAAACCTCTCAAAAAAAAAATACAGATGTAGATCTTGTTCTAAGCTTATACACAAACATACACGTGTATGCACATATGCGTTTTTTTCTAGAGAGAAATTTTTGCTATAGGGCATGTGTACTCACCAGAGAGACAGAGAGATAGAAAGCAAGAAATCACTTCCCAGGGGGAATGGCCACACCACAATCCCTTCTCCTCCATTCTCCTCTCGGGAGAATGCACGCAAGCACATGCGCCCAGCAAGAGGTTTAAGCCGTCAGGTCCAGGACTCAATTCACAGCTGACAACGAACCGTTATGACATTTGCTGGTCCCCATGTATGTGTAAAAATGGAGGGGCTGACCCTGTAGCCTAGTGGTAAGAGAACTGGATCCCACGTGACTGACTGCAGTTCAAATTCTGACCCCCAACAGCTTGAAAAACACATGGCAAGTGTGTGCATGCCCCACATCCCAAAGGGATGGAGGAATGTAAGAGAAGGGATTGTGGTGGGACCATGCCCCATTTCAGGGGGTGCTTTCTGCCTCTCCCTGTC